TCTGAGGGGGAGGGGGCAGTTGATGGGTTGGAGGTGTTTGTGGGGTTTGTGGGGTTTGTGGAGGAGGGGGGATGGGAGGGGTGAGATGGGTGGAGAGATGGTGTTGATATAGAGGGGTTTGTAGAGGGCGTATTGAGTGATAGCTCCGAGAAGGAATCAATCTCGTCCCCCTTCCCCTTCCCCTTCCCCCCTCCAACCCCCGCCTTCTCATCACCATAAAACGGAAATGAATCAGAGGAGGTCAACACAGTCGGCGTGTTCGTCTCCGAGCCTACAAGCGCCTCATCCGCCGCCAAAATTCCCATGACATAAACCTCCACCTTGACATCGACCGGCAAATCCGTATCCACCTCATCCACAATCCTTACTGTACACACTTTCTTATTCACGCTCTTGAAATCCGCGCGCTGCAGCTGCGTCGCGGTCGGAGCTAACACTGAAATCACGGAACAGTGCCACTCGTCGTCGATGGTGCCGAGTTGGTGTTTGGTGGGCTGGTAGCGGGTCCAGCCGAAGTAGTGCCCGTAGAGTTTGGTGGTTGGGGTGCTGGGGGTGTGGGTGAGGGTTATGAGGGGTAGAGGAAGGGGGAGGGGGTCGTAGTCGTCAGAGGAAGAGGAAGAGGAGGGGGGTGGGAGGTGGAATGCGGTGGAGGATTGCCCGGTTAGGTGGATGGGGTAGGGGGGGAGGGGACCGTGGGTTAGGGAGATGTCTTCGCCGCCTAGGAGAAGGTAGGCTCCGTCTTTGGGCTGGTTGGTATGTTAGTATTCATCCTTTTCCTTTTCCTTTCCTTTTCATATTTTGCATGGGAGGGAAAGAAAACAGAAAGAAAATCAAGAAGAAATACCTTCGCATCATCCGCCCCACTAGCCCCCTCCACCATCTCAGCAGCCTTCTCCAAAAACCCCTTGGGAACATGCTTGCCCACCTTCTCCACCTTCTCCTGCACCTTACTCGCCTTATTCAACACCCCAAACTTCTCACTCGCTTTCGTCGCCTTATTCAATATCTTACTCTGCGCCAACATCGCCGCAGGTCCCGCTACCTTCGCCGCGTAAATCTCTACGGCTTTGATTCCCATTTCCATCGGTATAGTCGACAAACTCGCACCCCTCATGGAACTAGGACTCGTAGATAGAGAAAGGAGACGGAAGGTAGGACTCGTACAGAGAACCTTCTGTTTGACCCCGTCCAGACAGAGGATGAGTTGGAAATAACCATCGCCGGCGTCGCTGGGGATGCGAATCACCGTCGTCTCACGCAGGAAATGTTTCTGGATTTTCTTCGTCTTCTCGCGTCGCTTGTTGAAGCTCTTGATGTCACGCTGCCATGCCCGTTCATCGCGGGGATTCAGTTGCTCGGCCGAGATGCAGAGGTTGGGTGTGACGTCGAGCCAGTTCTTTCTTGCGCCGACGAATTGTTTGATACGCATGCCTGTGCCACCGGACCAGCCTTTGGGTTGGAGATAGATCCTTCGAGTCTCGGGCATAGGCTCCGAGGCGAAGAGAGAGATGGTTAGTGAAGTGTTGGGTCCTTGGTAAAATACCAGACCGTGGGAGTGACGGAGGATGCTAAAGTGTTTGGTGCTTGTAGCGGGATGGTGAATTAGACCACCTGCGAAGTGACGAGCTTCTCGGAAAGCATCTTGAACTGCGGCGCCGGGGTTGAATTTGGTTTTGGTTGTGGAGCTTGTTTCTGTGATGGTGGCGTCGGTGGATGTGATGGTGGTGGATAGGGAGTTTGTTGATTCGCCAAAGTTAACCGAGGAGGATGCTGTTGAGGGTCTGGTGTTTGGGGCGGAAACTGAGAGATTTGAACCACCTGCTGTGGAGGGACTAAGATACGGATTTGAATCCATCATTCGTGAGGGGATAGAAGTTTTCACCGATAGGTCTGGCCGTTCGAGTTCTTGAATTGGGTACGATTGATCGTTTCTTTGAAACTGTTGCTTCCCTTGCGAATCCACAGGTACTCGTTGAGGAAGAGGAGTTACGTTGAAAGTATTATTTCTGATCAACTTCTCAGCCTGGACATCCCAAGCTCTTTGAGTATCCGCTGACACTGCACCGCCCTGTTGAGCCAGAGTATTCACCGCAGGAGAACTCTTATAAGAGCGTAGCGGTTTTCGTTGGACCTTAAACTGAGTTGAAACCGACGAATCAGAATCCCGAATTCGTGATTCCGTCAAAGGAGGCGTAGATGATTGGTGGGTAGCCGACGGTTGCTGTGTAACTTCGTGATCTCGTGATGGCGGCTGTAACGAGGGACTACGCGCTTCACTACTCGCGTAATGATATTGTTCCGTTGTTGGAGAAGGTTGATGATGATCCGTCGTAGGAGAGAATTTATTCTGAGCCGGGGATTTAGGAAAAGACAGATATCGATACGAAGGTTCACCAGTTGGTTGTTGTGGGAAAGACCCCGAAGATCCATTCGGCGAGTTGGGAAAAGATTGTGGGTTTTGAGCTGGAACAGGAACAGGTCGTTGAGGGAATGGCTGGTTCTCAGGGAGTTCTGTGAATGCCACGGGAACCGGTCGATTATTATTCGCAGCCTGCCGTTGATTCCAATTTTCCAACTGTGATTGACTCCAATTTTCCAACTGGCTCAGCGGTTGACGCCACATCTCCCCATCCCATCTTCTTTGTCTCCCATCTTCTCTCAAAGGCTGCTGTTGCTGTTGCTGTTGCTCTTGCTCAAAGCCATCGTCGTCGTGGCGAGGATGCGTCTCATTGAACCCATTCTCACAATATGGAGGCGGCGGCCCCGTGGGTATCGGTTTTCTATTAATACTCATCTCTAGACTGTGTTGGCTTGAAGCTTTGGTAAATTCAATATATTTATACTAGAAAAGAAGGGATGAAATCAAGACATGTCGTCGAGCTGTCTCACATCCGGTTACGAGTGCGAGTTTCCAGGGATCGACCCAAGCATTCATAGGGGCTCAAAAGCTGGGCAATCTGGGGCCGCAGATACCGAAACCGGGACATCGTACTACCTTTACCCTTCTGAATGCTCCTCCTAACTTATCACAAACATCTTGATGACATAGATAAGACCTACGGATGGCTGGCTCTAGCTCAACAATTATTTAAGTTTCCGGCATTTTCTAAAAGCAAAATCAAGCAATTAATTTGATTTAAAAAGAAGATTTGCATTTCGCTGTCCCACTCCAGATCAAAGGGTATCGGCAAGTAACAAATTCCCAGTATGAAAAAAACCCCCCAAAGCCAACGGAAAAAAGAAAGAAGGTCAAATTGCCTCCACCCTGAATAATACACCAATTTTCAAGTGGTAATAATCATAATTGACCATTCATCCAACCAACCATTCCAACCCCTGAAGATCAAACCCATTATCGCATCGCTCGCTCATTCATATGTATCAAATTTCCCCATATCCCGTCGCACTCAAGAACTTTTTAGCGCCAAATATCATACTGGCTCCTTCGTGGTTTAACTCCTTTCTCACCAGCAGAACTGCTGGGTCGAACACCTTCCTCTGAAGGAATTTTTAACAATCCACCAAATCCATTACCCACAATCACACTCCTTCTTGCCCCGCCATTCTGCAACCATGGTTTTCCAATACTGTCGTTCAATCCATAACTAGAAACGGGTCGAGCTGCAGAAGCACTACCTCTTCTGTTGTGTCCTCTTGGCGGCTCAACCTTGGAGAAATTCCACTCCATTTCATCCAGACCCTTACTGTAGACCTCCAAATCCTGCCTCAGAACTGGTTGCTGCATATTGGCGAATGGGTTGTTGGAACTGAATCGATTGTTCGTAGGAGATGCAAATGGTTTAGGGACATAATTGTCAGGATCGTTTACAAATGGTGCACTTGGAGGAGCTAAACCAATCAGCGATTCTGGGAAGTCGGGATCTCTGACGTATAGCTCTCTCAAATTGGGTAGGCCGCGAGAAAGTAGGGAGGATGTTAGATAACCGTAGTAACCGGGGGTCGTGGTATAAGAGTTGGCGGACGCGGCCGAAGTAATTTCGTAGTGAAAGGTCTCCAGGGAGGAGGATGATAGAGTGGGGACTCCAGGTGGAAAAGATGTAGTAACGCTCTCAATGATTGAAAGATGTTTCAATTTGGGAGCCGTGTCCAGAATTTGTTTTAATGTTGATGGATGAACACCAGTGGCCTCCAATGTCAAGGTCTTGAGACTATCCTGGGTATCGGATCGTAAAAGCCATGATGCCAAACCATCTGCCGTGACATTGGGTACGTTGTGAATTATAAGTTCGGTGAGAGCGGGAAAAGGAGGGAGGTAATCGTTGTGCTCGAGCAGACGGTCATCGAAGCTCTTCATATCCGTTATCTTGAGTCCATGCAGGTTAGGAAGAGATCCAAGGGCTCGTCGTAATACTGCGGGGTCCATGTTCAATCGAGAGAGTTCCAACACCTCCAAATTCCTCCACAACATGCCGCCAGCGAGTACTTCCAGACTTCGTTCCGAACCTCCCATATATGCCATCTTTCTGATATTCGGACATCTTGCTTGTACCTCTTGCTTCAAAGTGTGGCAGGATGGGTCGTCGGTAAAGAATCCCTCGGGGAGGTCGAGATAGCGCAGGTTTGGACATAATGCTACTGTTCTGGCCAGATCGGGCTTGGATGTTTCTCGTGTCATATATGGAGTCTTGAAATATTGTACCGTCAAGGCGAATGTATCCCAATTCTCCCTCAATGTCCTATGCAGGAGAAGCAACCGAGCTCGCGCCGTATCCTCCGGTTCGGCATTTCGATTCAACTTGGATCGTCGTTTGCGCTTCTCGGCCAGGATGTCTTCGAGAGGACAGTAGTGAACGGCATCTATGCGTATGCTATGGTATCTACGAAATCGTAGAGTCAGCTCATGGCCCAAGAATGGAATGCGCCGTCACTTACAAGACATTGGTCGCAGGACCCCTCCATTTCCTGCAGACCTGAGCGCAATGGGAGAGATCGCGAGCGTCGCATAGCATGCAGGTATCCTCGGAAGCGGACTGCTCATTGCTCTGATAGGACTCATCGCAGCTATGCGGACAAACGAAGCCAAAGATGTTTTCGAGGACCGACGCAGGGAGTTTGGCTAGTGTTCTGGCTGACACGGGCGGGGATCCGTAGGGTGAGTGCTGGGGCGAGAAGCGAGGATCAAATGGCTGTGAAGAGGGGTCGCCGTTACGGCTACCACTACCATGACGGCCGTGGTCTAGTGATTTCGAAGCCTTCTTTCTTTTGAACCACTTCATGATTTGGAGCTTGGCCACTTTGATGGTTGTCGTGGTGGAAAGGGAAGGACCGAGTGTGCAGGCAGAGGCAGGTGGGAAGGAAGGAGCGAAAGGCTGCTTGTTGCCTGTGGCCGCCAGCCAGCTGGGCAGCGTTGAAGTGAGTTGATCTGAGTTTCCGATTCCGTTTATTTTGGTCTCTCCCGGGGCGTAGCGTGGTGGGAGAAGAGTCCCTAGGCTAGTGCAGTGTAGTGCAGCACAGTAAGAGTTGCTGTATGCGTAGCTATGCTCAAGGGTCTTGGGCGTAGCAGCTGGCGGGTGGGATGCAGGTGAATCGCATTCAGCGTAGCGGGGAAGGGCCTGTGACAGTGGGAAGAGCCTGGCGAGGGGATTGCTTGGTCGGTTGGTGACGCGGAATCCTTGGACCGCAATAGGTCAGGGGTTGTAGCGAATCACGGGCTTTGAATCTGGTGCTGGGCGCAGGTGGGGAGTTGCAGTGTTTCTATTTGTGCTATTTGTACGCGCCGTTCATGCGGAAGCTGAGTTGAGGGAAGGAAAAGGGGGTAGGTAGAGGAGCGGGAGAGAGAATCATTATTTGCTGGCCCTCTGTGTTCAATTGGGTGTGATTAACACTCGGCAATAAGACATAGTGGAAGAGTGAATAATCCTTCATCTTTGCACTCACTCACTCTCGGCCCCACAAATCCATTCACGATGCCACCTCGGTGTGGGGAAAGTTACTCCAATTCCCGGCTGTCAAGAAACTTCAACGTTGCACCCGTCGGCACGCAGCTATGTGCCGTAGATCGGATACCATCAGGTACCAAGTACAATCTATTTTAAGCGTTGGTGGTCTTGTACTGCATATCGCTAAGTGCTCATTCCACCTTTGGAAAAAGAGAGCCACTCTCCTGAAACGACGCCAACTCGGCAAAGAGTTGGTCTTTGTTGCTTTGAATTGAGCATTTACCTCCGTAGACGAACAAAGAAAGTTGTCTCTGGAATCGAATTTCGTGTCCGGTGACGGGCAATCCTCTCCAGTGGACAATGAGCACAAAGACTATCAAGCATGGAAGTATGTTGAAAGGGCACGAGATCGTCTGTGCTCGCTTCACTTGGGATAATAGTCAAGTGACAGCGCAGTAGGAAGTCGCACCACCAGGCACTGACTATTATTAATCATGGAAAGTTGAAATTAGATGGAGTACAGGCAAGCAAGTCACCAAATGTAGCATCCGCAAAGTTGTGGCATTGTGCTCAAGTGTTTTCTTATATATGTTTGTTCGTTAATTCATCGCTAAAGAGGCAGGGGAGATATCTGTCAAAGATAACTCTTCCGCCTGCAAATTCCGTAATCCAGAGGCAGTTGAATGGTACTGATAAGCAGCCCCAATAAATCCCTTGCTAAATACATTTTTTTTACTTTCGTAATTCATATTCCCGTGATTTCCTGTGGTATCTTTCCTTGATAATAAATGCAAATACTCTCCCCCCCTCTCCACTCAGCAAATCTCAGGGGAGTTAGTCGACTTGAAGCGAGGCCATCGTGAAATTAGCTTCTCCCACCCCTCAACAATGAAGAAGAACCCTCAAGCCGAAAACGCACAGCACTCACAGCCAAGGTCCGAGAGAAGAACCCTCTGCATACTCGCCTCCTCATGCCTCTCAAAAGCAGGCACAGCAACATCACAAAACCATTTCAACGCCCCTCCCTTATCTTGAATACTCTTCCAACACCAAACCCCCACCACCTCACCCATCTGCACCACATACGGCAAAAAGAACTCATTCCGATAATACCTATTAGCATACTCCGCGCTCGCGAAGCTCGTGCCCGCGCTATAATACGGGAGTTCTATCTCCGCACTCAGAACCGGGAAGCCCTTTCGCAGTCTAGCGAAGATGTTAAGGACCACGACCTTGATCTGCGCAACTTGGTTCTTGTTCCCTTGACGGAGTTTAAACCATCCTTTACGGTAATCGAGCTCGGCGGGCGTGCGTGTGCTAGAGATGAAGGGTGTAGTGCCGCGGTATGCGTAGTTGGAGTGTCGGGACAACCATTCCTGGCGGTCGCAGAAGCGGTCGAGGCGTTTGCAGGAGGATTCCGATTTGAACATGCCTTTGTCGGCGCCGGGCTTGTAGATTGGTTGGGATTTGGAGGATTGATCGAAGCAGCGTAGGAGAATTCCTGGATGGCCAGGAGCTGGGAAGGTCTTGACTATCTCCCAGGTTTTGTCCGTGGGCATCCAGGGATGGATAGCTTCTTCGGATGAGGAATCGGCTGGCTTTTTGTCTCTCTTCTCTCGTGATGAGATAGGCTCTTTACTAAAAGCGCTCAAGAACTCCTGACGAGTTGTGGGGGTTTTGCCATAATACGTAATGGACTTTTTGTACGGATTTGCGAGGTCTTTGATCTTCTGTTGCAGGGTGTAGTAGGCTATCGTAAACTGTTTCTGCTTCTCGGATGGCAAGTTGGTAAGTCTAGATCGCGTCTCTTTAAGAAGGGTGCATATGTTAGCGTCGTAGACAATGCTTGGTATAAAGGTTACTGTTACTCCGTTTTCGTCTTTGATTTTGTAGGTTTTGACCTTGAATATCTTTACAGGGGTCTCACTAGCGTCCGACTCCTCGGCGTCAGTATCCCCTTCGTCTCCTTTAAGTAGGGTCTCTGTACGAGGGGTTTTGTACTTTTCTACTTCGTTTGTCAACTTGGGGCTTGGATCCTGAGTATTAGCGAAGGTGGTATTATTAGCTCCATCAAGACGTTGGAAAATGCCCGTAATATCGCTTACGTTTCCTCCCCCTCGCTCTCACCACGATTTCGCTTCAATGGAGTAATTGATGCTACACCAGAAGCACCTCCACTCTCTCCAACGGCCTTCCCGTCGCCAGATCCAGCAGGTCTCCTCGCGGTAGACTTTCCACTATCCTCCCCGGCTTCTTCACATCTCACATCCAGGGTATAAATAACATCGTGCGCCTCTTTTTGACGATCACTAGGTAACTTCGATGTCAATTTTCGCATTCCCCTAATAAGCTGTGGGCGGGAGAGCCTAAGGTACTTGGGGTAGTAATTTACTTTGCGTCCGTAGGTTGTGATGATGTATGGTGTCTTACAACGGAGGTTATCTTTCTTCTTGAGTTTGTCATTTTTGGTTGAAAGGAGGGCGGATGGTTCTTCATGCGTGTTTGCGGTGCTAGTTGGAGTTAGGTGGGCGTTGGATACCATTTGGTTGGGAGCGTTAGCAGTTTTGACATGGTTATTTTCTTGGGATTCTTCCTTACCAGACTTGGAGGTGTTGTCGCCATAGAGAATAGACTCCTCATTCCGTTCTTGTTCCTCGTTTTTTGTCTCTGTGCCTGATGTCTCTAGTACCGCGCTTCTCGCTTCGTTTTGGGTAATGGTCATGATATCGGGTTTATCTTCTGTCTTTGCTGAATCCCCTTCGGCGGCTACCGACTCAGGAGAGGAATCGGTATGGATTGACATACCGTCGTAGCCGTCATCGCCATCATATCCATCACCCTCGTCATCAGTAGACTTCTCGCTTGCCGAATGAATGCCATCTGCATCTACCTCCAATCAGCAACCACATCTCTCACTTAACCCCTCGCCTTACCTTTACTACCACCCTTCTCATCTCCATCACTAGCTTTCACTTCACTCTCCATATCAGAATCCTCCGAATCCTTCTCTGTAAGAAAAGAAAATTAGAAAATCCATCAAATTTCCAGAAAAGGGTTCTTACCATCATCGACCGGTGTATCCGGTGTATCCGGTCCATGCGCCGTAACAAACGACTCTAAGGCGTCGGAAAATACTAAAGATGGCAAGATTAGTAAATAGTGAATACGGAAAGGGACTAAGCGAGGGAGGTGAAGTGAAGGTGAAACTGTTTGATTAGAGCTGCTGTTGGAGTGAATATTGATGATGATTTCGACAGGTTCGGGAGGGGGTATGCGCTAAGCGAGGGAGGTGAATAAAGTGGAGGTGAAATGGTGAAAGGTGAAGCCGATGAATTCGAGATGATGTCGGATTGAATAGTGATGGTTTGGAACGAGTGTTGATTATGTGAACACTTTCGGTGTGGTCCTCGCTTAATCGTGATGTTGCTGATTTCCTCGCTTAGTAATACTTGATCCTGATCAAGTAATTCGGCCTGGTTGCTATTGCACCGTAGTCTTGCCGAATAGCCTCTTACGAACAGTGTACGTTTAGGGGTTGCTTGTCACGTGTGAGTACTCTTGCTATAGATTCTTCAATTGTGTTTACCTAATTGACTGGTTCGCTCTTGTTGCAGTTGCCGCTTGTTGGCTCTTGCCGTAATCGATTCTTTGCTCTCTTTTCTGTAGCTCCGACTTCGGTATTACTTTTTTCCTTCCTGCAGCTCCTGATTGTTGGCTCTTGCTGTATTTGCCGCTTAGCTCTTGTAACTTGGTGTCTTATAGCTCCGACTTCAGTAGTACTGTACTTACCATACTTGGAGTACTTGGTGTGGTTGATGTAGGTGTTGTACGTGCTGTACGTGCTGTGTTTCCTCCTTCAGGCGATGACTAATCAGCTTCAACTTGTTGCTTGCCTAGCACTGTTGTTGTCAATCTGGACAGCGTCCAGAATTCCTGGGTCCTTGTAAACGGCCGTTAATAAAGTTCCACGTGATTGGTATTCGGGTTTTCAAGAAGCTTTGAAGCTGAAATTGCGAATAGCACGAGAATCTTCTCTTCAAGTTCGTCAATTGGAAATCGATCTGAGGTCAGCCGAACGTTGTTCGTCTCCAAGTACTTATTTTGAAGAGCTCTCTTTTGAGAGGAAAGTTGAAGATGAAGAAGAGGTAGGGGGGATAAGAGGGTGACAAGATCTTGGGAAGGTGAGTAAGCTGCGAGAGGTGGGTACGAGGACCAGGTTTCTTCGCTTTTGGAGGTTGAAGAGGTTGTTGAGGATGAGATGGACGATGGATGAGATGGATGAGATGGACAATGTAATTAGATATCGTGGGAGGATAATAGGTTGAGGTTTTGAGATTGAAGAGGGATGAAGTTGAAGAGGGATGAAGTTGAAGAGTGATGAAGTTGAAGAGGTTTCAAGATGAGGAGGAAAGAGAAGATCCTTGAAACAGACGAGCAAGAGGCGAGGAGTGGGTGATGATTCCAATCACTCTCGCTTTTCAAAGTTTAAGAGTGTGTTGATGATGCTGTGGATGATGTGATCAAGAGAGTATTTGGGTTAAGAGTAGGTTGCTGAAAGTTGTAAGGTTGAAGAAGGTTGAAGTTTGGAAGGCGGAAAGGAAAAAAGAAGAGGAGAGGAGGTTGATATGCCTGCCAAGCGAGAACTAGCGCGGTTCACTTCAACTGCGAAAGGTGAGTTCCTTCCTCTTTTGTCCCGTGTCAACCACTTGAAGAAAGATTACCATACTTTCACTTTCTGTAATTATTACGTTGTGAAAATTTCCCTTAAATCCGTAATCTCATTCTCTGCCCTTCTATCATTATTTTCAAAAGGTTTGTCAAGGGAAACAGCTATGTTACTCAAGAGATCTAATTTCAAAGTTGGAGATTCCTTTGATGACAATTACACTCTTTCCTATTTCGTCATTTCTGACCGTCTACCATACGGAGGTTCAGCAATGCAGCACTTCAATAGAATAGGAAACAGAGATGAATTTTGTGGCACCGGCTGACAATGTACTCCCGGAATACTATGCGATGCTTCGGTGGCTCTTTCTGCTCTCGAAATTTGACAGCTCTTCACTTTCTCGTTCAGAGGTGGATGTCGTGAAGGTGAGAGCTAAGACTACCCGAGGTGAGAACATGGAGAGATTTGGCACTGAGAACTTGTGAATGGCACAACACTCAAGGTGGAGCGAGTAACATCAATGGATCTCTCCGTATGCTTTCTTATGTTCTGGTTGTATTATGAGGACTTTCACAATTTGTAGAATCAGAAAATATACTGGATGATACGAAAACCTTACAAACGCTAAAGCTCCAAAACGACATTCCCACGAAAGTAAGAATTCTCTTTTGTAGACATGCGCAACATCAGCAAAGGTTTCGTTGTGAGCCGTTAGGTGAGGTGAAATCAATTCAGTGGAAAACAACGGGCAAGTATAGTATTGAAAAGGTACAGCACATTCATAGCCATGTAAGTAATGTAGGATTCTATAAGCGATGTAGAATAACATATTATTAAGAGAGAGAAATTGTGATCAGCTAGACATTTCAGATAACGTGAGGTACTGAAGGAAGGCAAACAAAAGTAAATCTAGTGGAGAATACTATAGTCCAAAGGCCTTTGTGGCAGTAATACCAGAAATCTCCTCCAAGTCTGAAGTGAAAAGCGACAATCATGAGAAACGAATATATCGCCCAAGCTTCTCCTCCAAGACAAGTCAAGTGAATTTCCCATCCACAATCCACCCACGTAGAACTCCCTCCCCAGCCAACCAATAAGAACCCCATACTCCATTATCAATAAAAAATACCCATCCCAAATATACGGATACCACCGTAAAGATCCAAATCATTCATATCAAACCCCTTCCTCTTTCCTCTCCCTCAAATAGTTGTCTCACGTTTCCTCTTCTCTTCCCGATCCTGAAATGACCCTCGTAACCCAGCCGCAATACCGAGGGAAAGAGTACCACAGAGAACTATGATCAAAGGCAATGGAACTTGCGGGTTGACCATGGGGTCTGGTGAGATCTCTGGATGTGATATGCCGGGATGACGATCGTTTTCTGTCGCCTGTCCGATTTCATCACGACTTGAGAGTTGGGTTGCAATGTTCATGGCTTCTCTCGCGATGAGGGCGAGGGCGTTTTGGATGGGTGCCATTGTATAAATAAGCGAGTGGATGGTTGAGTGAGTGATAGAAACGATATGCTGATCTTTGGACTCGAAGGATCTCTTCTTCGAGGCTTTCGTGATGAGCAAGGTGGGATTCTAGTTCGATGCTCGTCTGTGTGGTAGTGGATAGCGAAGGTCTTGAGGAAATTAATGAGAGGAGAGCGTTTACGTGGGGTAGCGAATGATTTTCCCGCAGTTCGTTTAGCAGATCGGTGAATTTAGAAGATCACTTCGTCATGAAATATACACAATTAGTGAATTATGTTGTCAAAGGAGTGAAGTGTGCTAAATAAAATTGGGATTGCTTCCTACTTAATCGGTGGCGAACCGGATCAGCGGAAGACACGAGTGACAACGCAAGCTCGGAGAGCTTGTAAAGCAAGCCATCCCTCTCTAGGCACTCTGGGCTAGAGAGACGGGTGATGAATGATTCGCGAATCTGATATTTTATACTTTCCTGGCAATCCTGCGCCTGCATTCCCCATCCTCAAGAATCAAGATCATCGTTAGTGGACACAGGTTCCCCGTCCAGTATTCAACGTTGATAAAGGTCATTGCGTCATCCTTGGTATCTTCCGGATAATACGGACAGTTGGCAGTCTTCAGTGCTTCAGATAAATTCAAGTATTACTCGTACAGAGGACTTACAAGACTTCCAGGCTAAGATCTTGGTAAGACAATGAAGTTGAATGTACAATGCCGAAGCGTCCGATCGTGGCCGTGGGTGGGAGTGTGGACCTCCCGTAAGCAGCCTTTCCGCTGAACGTCCCCGCTCGTCAAATAAGGTTTGGAAATCCATCGATGATCGCTCTTCGTCTTTGCGCATAATTCTCCGCTAGTTGTGACCGGTTCAACTGCCAACCGGGTTTTTGGCTCCTGACACGATTTTATAAAATGCAACATGCCAGTAGCTCTGCAGCAACTCACAGCTGTGTGGAAACAGAACGCTCAATCGCATAGGTACTGTAACATTCCAAGAGCGTTCATTTCTTGGTAAGTATGGTCCCAAGCAAAGTTAAGTAATGACACGAGTTAGTGAATTCACAACGGTAACTTTCCATATCGAGAAATGTATAACCAATGAGGTATCTTTGATCGGAATTACTGGTTCTGACTTTTTGCTAAGGAGATCATGCTCAATCACTTTAAAAAAGACAGTGTTGACATGACACGAATACAAGTTCGCATCCTCTGGTTTAGTTCGCAACGATTCTCGAGGTTTACGTGTACCAAGAGAGAGGTTTAATACGTTTAAATTCCATCAACTGGTAAGCGCTCGTAATCCAATACAAGGGTACTTGGACATACAACCCCGGTTATTCAAATTAGTCATTACACTATTCCACTGTGAAGCGTTTGAACAGCTCGGAGCTGACCCCCCCCATGTCGGATTCTAGCATCCCCTCACTTAACTTGGACAGTCCAATTGGCTTCTAAAGCTATATAGTGGGATTAAACCCTTCGTATCAGAAGTCGTATGGAAGGGTAAAGACGCGAGCTGCCCAGGCCTTACACTATACCTCAAACTAATTACAAGTACAAGTTTCCTCTGTGTAGAATTACTACTTGGTGACAGGCACAATTCGGCTTATTGTCTAGAAATGAAAATCATAATGCACCAGATATTGAAGCATTCAACACCATCACTGTCAAGCGAAATTCCAATTTCAGAGTGCCATGGTGGCGTATCGAGTATGCCTAAAAATAAATGTATGTTACAATCTCCAATTGTTCTTTGTTCTCTTTTGCATCCTCACAATAGAACCTTGAACAGATTCAAAGCACCCTTTATGCCAAAATGTGGCGATGGACAGCCAACAAAAGCTCTTTGGAGGGAGTTACTTTGAGACTATATAAGCAAAGACCCTCTAGTTCTTTTTGGCCACTCAACGCTTTCTTTCTTGTACAAAATACCGCAACAGACTTTCTTTTGCTAGCTAATACGAGTTGACCTCGAATACTGGGCTTTGAGTAACACATACAACACCTCTACAACACCCATTCAAATTTACCTATCAAAACAAGTCAAGATGGCTAAAAAGCAAGGAAAGGGAAAGAGCAACAACAACAACAATAATAAAAACTCGCAAAACGGGGTCAAGAAGAATGGCAATAATAAAAACAGCAACAACAACACCAACAATAAAGACATAACCTGCAACCACTGCCACAAAAAAGGGCACAAGGAAGCAGACTGCCGATCCAAACCCGGCAACACCACCACCAACAACAACCAAGGCAAAGGTATATCCCGCCCCTGCACAACCTGCAAAGGCCGCCATCTCGATAAAGACTGCAATGCCAAATCCGGACTGGGACCCGATGGGAAAGCACTGAAGTGTAAACACTGCAACGGACCACACTACAACAACCAATGCTGGGAAAAGACCTCGGAGGATTTCACAAACAAGAGCACTGCCACCCAACCCCAAGGACACCACGGACAGCAATATAGCCCCAACATCTCGCAACCGTTGACGATGAGTGGACTGGTCCTACGACCATGTCGCTACTGCGGCGGCGAACACCTCGGAGACCACTGTCCACATAAAACCGTCCTCGACGCACAACACGATTTCCGCGACCAAAGCCAGTCGACGTACAGCTACCCATCCAGCAACCACTTCTCCGCCACCTCGGAGCCTAATCAAGAATGGCACACCGCAGCGAGCACGCACATCCAGCCCGCCTGGGGCTTCATCAAGAACCCAGTCACATCACGAAAATGGGAAGACGACGATACATCACGGTACACACGGCACCCGCACGACCTAGTGCCCGCACACCACACGCACCTCGCGGATTCGTATCTAGCGTATAGCCATCAGAGTGGACATCCTGCGTTCCGAGAACGGTATCCGGCGAGAGAAAGGTATGATGATGAACAGGATGTGATTATGGAGGATGTGGATGCGGACCCGGACTATGGGTTTACCGATCAGCAGAAGATGGAGCATTTCCAGCAGGGGATTAGGGATGCTACGTGGGAGGCTGTGAATTTGCGGAGACGGTTGTCGGAGATGAGGAGGGGGGGCATTGTGGATGGGGAGTATAAACCTATGTTTGGGTACTAGTTGGAATGGGGATATATATGATATGACAATGCGGAAATTGGGAATAGCGTAAGTTAGTATTAGAAACTAGTAAGTTAAGTGCAAGTAAAGGATGGGGTTTATACAGTACCCGCACGATTGGTCAGTTTAGCGGCATAGGAGTAGATACCATGATAAAATCAAAAATGTTTTTCAAGATCTCAAGAAAACCCAGTGATTCTAAAATAAAATATCCTTCCATAACGTAGTACCTGTCACGGATCATCTTTGTCTAATGGAAATCGTGGCGTCGAAAGTCTTCTTTATTGGTAGGGAATCAAGGAAGACAGGGGAAAAGAAAGTAAGGAATAATGTGTTTCTTTGTTGGGTTAAGCCGCGTCAAGTAGTCGGTGGCTTTCGGGTGTTGCTCCTGAATAAGCGAGGCAATATGACAGACAGCCCAAGCCCACCTCTTCTAAATCTATGATTTGAAATTATCAATTACGATCAAAGCTCCAAATATCGTAAACAAATTTGGCCAGCTGTTTGTTGGGATTTTTCTACGTGCCACACTATAAGTTTGTCTGCTCGGACCAAGTATGCTTTAACACCACCACAAAAGCAATAAGAGAGTGAATTGATCAAGTAGAGCTGACCTAGTGCCAATAAGATGTTGTTAAGTCACCGCAGGTAACGACACAGAAAGGGAACACCTTCTATTGGAAAAGAAAACCTAAACATTCGAAAAAACCCGATAACATACGAGTCTTGTTCTCATGTCCACGTCTTAACAACTAACTGCCCCTCCCCCCTTTCACCTCATGATCAAACCCTGTCCAAGAACATAACTTCAAGACCACAGCCGTCTTTTACCACCTTCGAACCAATAACCTATCTTCTCCTTCTCTGGTCACAGTCTCATATCTCACGGAAGCCACTTAATATCAAGCACCTCGGCCGAACAATCCGGACAACTAGCATACTTTCCCAATCCATAACAATGAGCCTGCCAAAGCGAAAAGCACTCAGCACAAAGAGCATGATTACAAGGCACCACAGCAACCTTCTTCGCAAATCCTTCAAGGCAAACCGGACAGCGAGACCTACAGCCCTCGTCACTTTTATGCGAAGTCGTCTTCCTCAAGGCACGAGGCTGGAACTCTGGTGGCGAGGAACTGAGGGGACCAAATTTGTGGGTAAACTCATGTTTGTGAGTATTCTCCTGCTGTACACTTTTCGAAGACGCAGAGTCAAAGGAACGTTGAGAGGTAAATGTTGGCCGTGGAGTTACAAGTTGAGTAGGCGTGAAAAGAGGAGCCCGTTGAAGGAAAGGAGGACTTTGTAATTGCGGACTATGTTTGACCGTTCCACTACTCGAGGAGCTAACTTGACGATCCTGAAGATGCGGATACGTATACAACGGATCCGCAAGGTTGAGTCTGCGCTGCAACCGCGCTTGCAAAGTAGAAAACGAAGGCTTCTCATTTGTTGTGGTGCAACTTCCCGAACTGGTGTTACTCGATCGCATAGTGCCGAACTTGAAGATGGGACGGGGACGAGATGGGGATTGCTCAACTTCGACTTCGGTGAAGGACTTGCCGAAACTGCATCGTCGACGACGGGAAGCGAAGGTGTGTCGTTGGTGGTTGAGAAGCTTGGTTGGCACTGTGGCTGCTCCGAAGCTGGGGAACTGTTGCAATCGAGAGCGAAGGCCGTGGAATTTGGAGACTTCCTGATCTCGTGCCATTCCAAAGGATTGTAGAATGCTTGGTTGGTAGTAATATATACTCGAATGGTGTTGGTTTACGCCAGTTTGAAAGAATGTTTGCTGCTGAATTACGAATTGGAGACAATGTTGGTCTGTCAAATCAGGCGCAGCTATGGGCTCTAGAAATTTAAACAGTCTGGGTGGTTCCTGCCTGCCGAAACAACAAAACTCCAGCTTTAGGAAAGTAAAGGATCTATCGCGCACGATCTGTTGTCCGATGAGACTAAGAATAGGTAGGAAGGAGCAATTGGGATAAATGAACTCAAAAAGGAAAGAACGATGCGGGAATATCAAAAACTTTTCAACCTTCCCAGAACCTTGTTTCGATGAACGGCATCATTCCCATGTATTTGTAAGAAACCATGGCATCTCTTTCAGGACAGACATGGGCATTAGGTTCCACATACTGCTATGGCTACCTTGTGGGGTTGACAAATAGAAAAACCAGGCCAAAGTTATATCAAAATCAAGCCAAATTATGGAACTTCGTGCTTTTCTGAAAATTATCCACTGTCATTACATTTTTCCACTCAAACAAACGCCAGAGCTCCCGAGATATTGAAACCACAGCCTATGCGTATTCAGGAAAAAGAATTGAGGGTATCTGGCAAACCTTGATAACGCTGCTACGCTCATCGCTCAAGCTCGCCTACTGTTAGATCTTCGATATCCTTACCCACAATCGCCTCAGCTACCTTCCAGATCTGGATCATGTTGTCTTCAGCAGCACTGCAAACCACCCATGGTTCGTTGAGATTCCAGCTGAAATCCGCCATACGGTTGGTGTGACCGCCATGCATGAAAAGCCTATTGATGTTAGAGAAAGAATACGTGTGAGTGGCGAGGAAACTTACAACTCTGGCGGGCCATCCTCTTGGTCATCTGGCAACTGCTCTTCACCAAAACGACTTAGATCCCAGAAGATAACTCTACGATCCACCCCGGCACTGCCAAGAATAGCCTCCTCGTGTGGGTGCCATGCTAGCGATGTTACGCTATCGAGATGCCCCTCGAGGGAGTGCAGCTTGTCCTTGAGATTCCTCATATCCCAGATACCGATTGTCTTGTCCGCTGAAGCCGTAGCCAGAACGAATTCAGAAGCAGGATTGAACGCCAAAGAGTTGACAGCATCATCGTGTCCTCCTTCTCCTTGTTGAGCGGAGCGATTAGTCTCGGCTTGGCGGACATCCAGGATCTGCAGAGTTAAATCGTCCGATACAGTTCCAATCAACGATTTATGCGCAGGATGATATTGAACGTCATTGACAACGGAAGTGTGGTGGGTATAAGTACGGCAAGCTTTGACGTGATTGTTGGCTGATGAGATAGTTTTGAGATCCCTGAGATCTGTTAGTTGTTTTCCAATCATGCTGGGTACGTTTTATCCTACCAAAGCTTGACAGTAGTATCTTCACCACCCGTAGCAAGTCTTCCAATTGCCTCATCCTCGGGGTGTGGATTCCAACACAGTCCAAATCCTTCCTTCTTGTGTCCAATCAATTCCGCCTGAGGGGATACAACGCCCTTTGGAACGCTACTGTGCTTCGTACGATCAAAAATAAGGACTCTTCCATCCACGCACATGGTGGCAATGATGTTGGGATTTTGTGGTTGATATCTAGCCTTGTTGACCTCGCCAGGGTGATCAATCTTCTGTTCAATGTTCATCTTTACGGTAGGTTGCTCTCCAGATGCCGAGTTGGCGTAGCCACCAATTTCTCCTCGCTCTTCATCATAATCACGGGGATCGGGAGCAATGTTCTTGGGCAGTTGCACATTGGCAATTTCAAGATAGTTTTGCGCGTCGTTGGATGTATGAGTGCCTATGAGAAGTCGGTGGATGGTATAGTTCTTGCCAGCGGGTCTAAAAATACGTAAACACCCAAGGGATAGGTAGCGAGGGATAGTGCCCACTTACTCTTTGACGTCTGGAAACCATTGGGTAGTCAAAGTGGGCCACTCAAGCGCAGTGCTTGTAAAAGTTAGCTTGATCTTCGTTGCGAGAGACGGTCGTTTACCTCAAGATCATATCGTAGAGAAAGGGGCTGTTTTTCTTCCATGTTTTATATTCTAGATTGGATTATTAGTACAAGGGTCTGGCCATATCTTGAAACTCCATTACCTTCGTTGATGATCTTTTGCTCCTGGTCTCCCCCCTCAATCTCGCATTCTTGGAGGTCACCTGTCCATGGTCAGTTTTTATAAGTTGGACTGACTGCTGGCAGCAGGTGCCTTGAGAAAGAGGATGCGAAGCTTGATGGGAAAGGCTGCACAGGATGCGCAACTTACCATCCATGTCATGGTCAGAATCCGCCATCTTGAGTAGTTTGTTCAATGATCCAAGCACACAAGCTGAATGTGGACAAAGGCGTAGTTGGTAGGTTCAGGCGAAGGAGGGATATGAAAGTGCCCAGGTGAGTGACCAGACAAACAGAGCTGAAGCTAGCTTTGGAGGACCCTTGACGCGCAAGGAAAAGGAAACGCGGCGCGTTAAGTGATTAAATCGCCGAGATCACGTGGAGAAGGTGGTGGCGCCAGTACCAGGTTAGTGGAAGTGGCTCCCCTCCCCGCCTCCATCCACTCAAGGTACCCAAGTAGGTCAGAGCTGTTGTTGAGACTCTTGGAGCCACACACAACCGCCATACAAACCGTCCACCACCTTGGTTGTCGCTACGAGAGAGAGAGAGAGAGAGGTTGAGGAAGTGGGAGAGTGGTTCTTTTCCACACGTCTTTTTACCACCAGAAATAGTGTTTCTCTTGCCACCGATTGGATTCGATATTCAATTCAATTTGATTCGATTCACAACCGACCACCACCAGCCAGCCTTTGCGGTAAAAGCAAAGTGCTCCCCCAGAAAAACCGATCGTAGTGTCGAGTACACACAAAGCAAATCAACATACACATACACGCGCTCACTGCGCTATAATACACCATGGGTGTCCCCAAGTTTTTCAGATGGATGAGCGAGCGATATCCTGCCATATCGCAGCTCATCGCAGAAAACCGCATACCAGAATTCGACTGCCTTTATCTCGACATGAATGGCATTATTCACAACTGCACGCATAAAGACTCGGACGATGCAACCTTTCGAATGACAGAGGAGCAGATGTTCATTGCGATATTCAATTACATCGAGCATTTATTTGGCAAGATCAAGCCCAAGCAGCTCTTTTTCATGGCGATCGATGGTGTTGCGCCTCGAGCGAAGATGAATCAACAACGTGCCAGACGATTCCGCACGGCTCTTGACGTTGAATTAGCAAGAGAAAAGGCCATTCGGGAAGGCCAGGAAATGCCAAAAGAGGAAGCATTCGACAGTAATGCGATTACACCTGGTAAGCCATTTGCCACTGCTAGCTCTAGTCACAAAAACTAATTTTTCTAGGTACTGAGTTTATGCACAAGCTTACCCAGCAGTTAAAGTACTTTATCAACAAGAAAGTCTCCGAGGATATTGATTGGCAAGGTGTAGAAGTGGTCCTTTCTGGTCATGAGGTACCTGGTGAAGGGGAGCACAAGATCATGGAATACATTCGATTGGCCAAGGCACAACCCGATTATAATCCAAACGTTCGACACTGTCTCTACGGTCTCGATGCCGATTTGATTATGTTGGGTCTTCTGAGTCATGATCCACATTTCTGCTTGCTGAGAGAGGAGGTCACATTCGGAAGACAGAGCAAAGCAAAATCCAAGGAGTTGGAGCATCAAAACTTCTATCTTATGCATCTTTGCATTGTACGAGAATATCTAGAGCTGGAGTTTCAGGAGTTGAAAGAAGATGGCGCTCTCGGGTTCCCTTTCGACTTGGAGCGAGTCATTGATGATTTCATATTGATGGCGTTTTTTGTTGGTAACGATTTCTTGCCAAATCTTCCCAATTTACACATCAATGAGGGTGCTTTGGCTCTCATGTTCAAAGTCTATAAGACTATTCTTCCTAAAGGACAAGGATATATCAATGAAGGAGGTGTCATTAATATGGAGCGACTGGCAATTCTGCTAGAGGAGCTTTCACATGTGGAGTACCGATTCTTCGAATCCGAGAGTGCAGACCAATCATGGTTCAAATCAAAACAAATGTCCAAAGAGGACGTCATGGTTAAAGGCAAGGGTAAGGCGAAAGGCAAGCTCACCATGACTACTCCCCAGCGTGATATTTGGAAGCAAGTTAAGAAATATGTTTCTCGTCGATCGGATAAACCGTTGAAGCTGCCACCGACCTTACCCGCAGCGGACCGAAAGTTCGTCCAGGAGCTTGCGGAGAGTCTCCATCTGGAATGGAAGACCGTGGAGAACGAACAAGGTGACCGACATATGCAATTGTCGTTTCCTCCAAAGCTAGTAGCCGACGAAGAAGACGAGGGAGAAGACGGCGAAGACGAGGAGTCCCAGCTCGCTATTCTACGTGTTGTTAAGCAGTATGACAATGCGCAGACCGTTGACCTGAGTAGGGCAGAAGCCCAGGCTGAGATGGACAAACAATACGAGTTGAAATTCCAAGAATGGAAAGACAAATATTACGAGGGGAAGTTTGAGTGGAACAGAAAGGATGAGACGGAGTTGACAAAACTTTGCGAGAATTACGTACAGGGTCTTCAATGGGTGCTCTTCTATTATTATAGAGGGGTCGCGTCATGGCCATGGTTTTACCAATACCACTACTCCCCTATGATTTCAGGTATGCAACCCCTCAGATTTGATGTAATTCATGATCTATATGCTAATCTTTTAAATGTCAGATGTCATCAAGGGATTGAAAGCGGATATCAATTTCAAGCTTGGGCAGCCATTCCATCCATATGAGCAACTCATGGGCGTGTTACCAGATCGAAGCAAAAAGATTGTTCCCGCTGTTTATCATGATCTAATGACCAATCCCAACTCACCAATCATCGATTTCTACCCTCGGGATTTTGAACTTGATATGAACGGCAAGAAGATGGAATGGGAGGCTGTGGTTAAGATCCCTTTCATTGACGAGAAGCGATTGCTTGCTGCAATGGCTCCCAAAAACGCACTATTGAGTGATGACGAGAAGTTCAGAAATGACTTCGGTGTCACTTTGAAGTTTTCTCATAACCTGGATCTCGATTTTACTTATCCTTCTTCACTTGTTGGAATCTTCCCGGATATTCCTCATTGTCGCTGTGTTGAAAATATTTTCGATTTGCCTACAATTGAGGGCCTTGAATATCACGTTGGTCTCATGGAAGGTGTTAAACTTGGTGATGCTGCTTTGGCGGGTTTCCCAAGTTTGGCCACCATTCCTTATAATGCAACACTAGGATTCCATGGAGTGAACGTATTCCAGTCTGATAGTCGAAACGAAAGTATGGTGGTTACCATTGAAGATTCGGAAGAGAGGACGAATGTGACGACCGCATCTATGAAATTGGGTCAAAGAGTATTTGTTGGCTATCCATTTTTATCGGAAGCCAAAGTTACGAAGGTTTCCGATGAATTGTTTGATTATCTCCCTTCAATGGACGGATCATCCCACGCAATTCAGAAACCTCACGGTCCCCGAGAAATTGATGAATTTCGCAAGAAGGCAACTCGAATTGAGGAGACGTACAGTAAACGCCTTGGTATTATCATCGGTGCAGTTGAGTCGATCACTCATGTGGAAATGCTCAAGGGCCTGATTAAGACCGACGAAGGTGCAACAATTAAAGAATACGCCATAATTCCAGGAAATGAGACCGAGTATGCATCTCAGCTTATCGTTGATGAGGTTCTGAGCGAGGATCAGCGGTTCTTGGAAAAGGCCGCTCTTCCAATAGAAGAGGAATTCCCACCAGGATCCCGAGCATTCTTCTTGGGCGAATTCAATTATGGCAGACCATTAGAGGTTGTCAGCCACACAGAAAATCGCGCAGAGATTTGGTTGTCGACTGTAAAGGGGAAGGAAGTTGAGTTTGGCAGAAATGTTGTCAATGGAGGATCCCAAACCAGCTATACGCCATCATACACAGTTGCGAAAATGCTCGGCTTGCACCCTCTTGTTTTGAGCAAAATCACTTCATCGTTCTCCATTTCAGCTTGTGGACTTCCACGCCTCAATCTTGGGCTCAATCTCAAGTTTGAGGCGAAGAAGCTGAAAGTTCTGGGCTATTCTCGTCGATCAGACAATGGTTGGGAATTCAGCAACAAGGCCATTGAATTGCTTAGCACATACATGACCAAGTTTCCAGAGTTCATTGCTGGTATTCAACGAAATCCTCGTGCAAGCGAGTTCCAAGAAACCGATTTTTATCCTGCCGAGGTGGCGAGTGTCAAGATTAAGGAGATTGTTGCTTGGCTAAAGAGCATCGAGTCCAAGAATTTCGAAAAGGTCCCATTGGACGCGGAGCAACTCGATTCCAATGCTGTGATGGCAATTGAGGCGGCCGCCGATCAAAATGTGATTACAGAAACCGAGTTCAAGAAGCTGAAGGGGGTTCCTCGAAATGCTTTGATGAAACCCTCAGATGCCGAACATCGTCTGGGTGGACAGCGATTCGTTTTGGGCGATCGGGTCGTCTATGTACAGGATTCTGGCCGAGTACCTATCGCCACTCGAGGAACAGTGGTTGGTATTTCACGTACTCCTAGAACCACTCTGTTGGATATCGTTTTCGATTCCACATTCATGAGTGGAACCACTTTAGGTGACCGTTGCTCTCCTTTCCGTGGTTCCACGGTCCCAGCCGCCTCTGTTCTCAACTTGACCAACAAACAAGTCATCGCTGGTTCCAAAGCCGCATCAGAAAAGAGACCTGCACCTGTCAACACACCATTGACTGTAAATGGCGGCTACGGTAATGTTCCTGGAGCGGGTGGTAGGGGACAATATCGGGACGCTGGTGCACCTCCTCCTCTTAGAGGATCTTTCCGTGGTGCTATTGCTGGCCAAGGACAAAATGTATTCAACCGAGGAAACGGAAACGGCTATTATAGAGGTCGGGGACGAGGAGGTTTGGGATATGTTGATAACAATGCTGGACCACCAGTGCACAGCAGCATGGCAATGCGGGGTGGCCCGGCAAATGGAGGAGGTGCGAGAGGCGGCGCAATGAACAACGGTTTTCGAGGTGGCAGAGGTGGAATGAACAACTTCAATGCTGTTCCACCCCCTCCCAGCTTGGATAACCGGGGTCGCAGTAGAGGTCGAGGCGGACGAGGTAGAGGAGCTCCTCGTGGTCGAGGAATTGTTGCGCCAGCCCCCGACGCTTGATTTCTTTTTTGAGTGAACATGTCGTTGGATAACGAAACGTTCTGGTATCATTTTAACGAAAGACACGCTGTCATGAGTATGAATGAATGTTGGAATGATTTCGTTAGGTTTGAGCGAGGTCGTTTGGCAGGGCATATTCAGGTGTACATGTATCACCAGGCAGTTGAGTGAAGTACTCTTGACGAGTGCAAGGAATTGAAATGCTTCTAGTGGCATATCGCACCATAACAAATATCTTCTCCCAAACCTAGTTATCTATGAAATTTTCCCCTTGTGTTTGTGATAGTATACAACTAGACTTTTGATACGTACTAAACCGTATCTCATAGGAACCTTCCAGTAACTACCACTGCTACCTACTTAGCACCCGACTCCTACGAACTGATCACCTGATGCGTAACGAGGCTGAACCCCGGCTGGAAAGCTCACTGCAAGCTGAGGTGTCGCCCACCTCTCCCTGGATACATACAAACCCCCAACAATTGTGCAACCTCTCTCAATGCTCAACCACCACAACACCAAACCGCCATAGTGGAGTCAGAATGGCGTCGCATCAACTCGCCATTGCAAAGGCATCTTTTTCCGCTGGCCTTCTGCGACCTGATCCTGTCTCGTTGTCGGGCGACGATATTGCACGCTTCCACACGCTATTGAATACGGCCATCACAAGATGCTCCGCACAAAACGTCCAGGTTTGAATCAAACACTCTTAAGGTTCTATCAACGCGATGGCTAAATGGTCCTTGAGGATAGAATTGCAAGCATTGGATACTTGATTATGTTGTCCCATCTACAACCAGGTCAACGGCGCTGGGGAAATATCTGACAGCCTTAGGAAATTCCTTCGCCGCATCGACGCGCAAGGATTCAGCAGCTGAGCGCGACCCTTCTGTGAAGAGGAAGCGACTCCATTTACTCTATATCATCAACGACCTCTTATATCATGCGAAATACAGATCAAGCGACGCCTCGATTTGCAGCAAGGTACAACCCATCTTGGTCGATTTGTTTGGGGGCGCAGCATCCTTTAAAGCCTGTCCCAAACACCAGAAGAAGCTATTGGACCTTTTACAGATATGGGAAGATAAGGGATATTACTCGAGGGATTATATCACAAAACTCCGAGAAGCTGTGAAGAATGGCTCGGAGCTGGGAGATGATGCCCAGGCTGGAGCAACCACATCAATTGCAGTAGATCAGGCTTCCACTACCAAGCTTGCCAAAAGTGCGCCATATATTATGCCGGCTATGCATGGAGACCCATCGACACCTTGGTACGACCTGCCAGCTGGAAATCTCATGCCACTTATTGAGCCAAATTCAACACGTCCGATCAATCCTGATATGATAAGACCTATGCAGTTTGTCGCTGGGCCGGCAAGTGAGGAATTGGTAACGGCAGTAAAGGCTCTCTTGGAAGATGTGCATGTAATTTATGGGACGGAGTTGGAGGGGGATGAGAAAGCATCTTGGGATATTGACGAACTCGGTCAACCAATAGTGCTGGATGAGATTACAGGTGACATATTAGAAGGTGAAGGATATTACGGATGGTCTCGAGGATTCTGTGAAAAGATGAAGCGACGAAAGAAGGGACTGGATAAGCCAGATCGAGGAAGAGATCGTCGCAGCCGGAGCAGAAGCTCGAGTCGAGGGAGAAAGAGACCTCATAGCGACTCGGATTCAAGTCCCGAAGGACCAAGGTCTAGACAACGCCGAAGATCCTACACCTCTTCCCGATCGGCTTCTTCTGCGTCTGGACGACATGGCGATTCTCGGACTCGTACAAGAGACAGATCATATTCCCCACCAAGTGCTAGACGTCCAGATTCTCACTCAAGGGACCAACAGCAGTATACCGGTACTGGAAATCCACCCAGACCACCGCCCATCATGAACCAACCTCCGCCTCCTCCGCCTCCAATGCCATTTCAACAAGGATTTAATCCAAATTTTCCCCCACCACCGCCGCCACCTCACTTCAATAATGGACCTGTTCCTCCGCCTCCATATGGCTGGGCTCCTCCACCACCGCCACCTATGAACTTCAATCAACAGAATCAATGGCCTGTACCACCACCTCCACCCCCTCCAGGAAATCCCCCGATGAACTTCCAACACCAGGCTCCTTTCCCTCCGCCGCCTAATGCGCCCGGTATTTATCCTGGTGGGAACTGGCAAGGTGGAGATGGGAGAGGATATCAGAATCCGAATCCAAACAATCATCATAATCACGGTCATCATAATGGTTGGAATAATGGACATCAGCAGCATCAACATCGGGGAGGCGGGAATAGAGGGAATTACCGTGGTGGGGGGAGGGGATGGAATTGAGTTGCTCTGATTAGGTGAGGGGTTGGTAAGAGTGCTTTTTACCCGGGAGGCGATACAGGTACGACGATGTGATGGAAGGAAATTGAGATCTTTAGTTGCATGATCTTGGAGACGTACCTTGAGCTACGGATAGGTCGTGAGATGTTGATCTTTCTTCCTAGATTCCATGAACTGGGAGTTGGTCTGTGTACTGTGTTGTACGATTATACAAGGAATACCCTCATCCTCATGAATGAACGAATGAATGAATGAATGGAGAGTGAGATGTTTTCCCCCTGAACCTCTTCTTTTGGATGCTGTGATGGGCAGGGCGTCCAATGGAGGTGGGATGTATAAGAGGTGCAGGTCTACCCCCACGTGTTATACTCCTTGCCCCGCGTTCGAGGGGGCGTTAGAGGGATGGCTTTGGGAGGTGGATGCGTAGGTATGTTTTTTGGTTCCGTATTGAATGGGCTGTTTGATGTTTCCGATTTCATTTTTTTTGGCTTACCGGTTGGGTGTAAGTGGTTTTGGAGAGTGGGGAGAGAGAGTGGGGAGAGGTGGGAGGGCTTGTACAGTTGTACAATACCTGACGTATTTGAGGTTTCCGGGGGTGGAGAGTAGAATAGGTACTATAGCTGATTCGAAGTGAAGAGAGAGAGAGAGAGAGACGGACTCGGGATCTTCGGGTTGGGTTGGGTGGTTGCTGGTGGGGTTTATGCCGTAGGGTGGCCGAAGGGGAGTAGGACGGCCCGAGAAGGGAGAGGGAGATGATGGGGGTGTGGGGGGCTGGTAGAGTATTGGTTTGTATAGGTAGGTATTTGATCGTTATAGTATAGTAAGGAGGAGTGGGTACCATGATATATGGGGATATGAGTGTAGGGAGGTAGGGGTTTCGGATAGAATGAAAGGATGATTTAATGTTTCTTCTTGAGTAGTTTACTATTCTTTTTGTAGGGTGTGGGTTATATAAGATGAAATGTTGGATTTCCTTCTTGTGTTCGAGGTACTGGTAGGAGGTAGGAGGTAGAATGCGATGAAGCTCTTTCGTGCTAGTGTAGATCTCGGTGTTGTATTGTATGTATTGTATTGGATGTAGTGGATATACGGGACTAGTTTGGTTTCGTATAGGTAGGTAGGTAAGTAGGTAGGTCGGTAGGTCGGTAGGTCGGTAGGTAGGTAAGTATGTAGGTCGGTAGGTAAATGTAGATGTAGAAGTATATCTTGTATAACATTCTCTTCTTTCTTGTAAAGTAGTAAAGTAGTGTGGAATCAAGTATCTAGCATCGATATATTACTCGCGGCAGATAGAAGTATCTAAAGAATACCTACGAATTACAGATTGCGAGATTGCGAGATTGTGTACTTACAGTAGTACTTGTCTGTACCTGGGTACCTGGAGCCCTCCCCCACTATCCCATTCATCCCATCCATCCATCCCATCCCATTCTAGGTATCAGCACATCATCATCATCAACAACCACCGACAAAGCTCCTTTCCCATCCCATCATCATCATCATCATCCCACTCCTACCACTTTTCCTATCGAAAGGTTCGAGGACATGTTATGACGATGGGGGTATGGATGTACAGTGCATCCGCAGCTATGAATTGGAAGGGAATTCATCCAGATGTGATATCTCTTGCGTCAAGATGCGATGTGCCCCCACTCCTATTATGTCACTAGGTAGCTAGGAGCGACCGTACCGAGAGTACCTACAGTACAGTAGGTAGTATTGAAGCGGATAGCAGCGGGCAGGAACGGATAGAATTGATATGATGGAGAGGAAGGGCCGTTAAACGATGGCAGGATTAACAGGGTAGGGGAGATGTTGTATCTGTGGATACATCTGTATGTAGACTTTACAGACTACAGTAGACTGAGCGTTGAGAATAGGAGGAGTTAATTGTACTTACAGTACTCGAGTACCTAGGTGAGTTATGATCCATTTTCATCTCCTGTAGTATGTTCACTCGGGGATAGGATGTACCAGAAGTCTCTCCCTCGTACAAAGTATAACATACATATCCTCCTATAGTAGCTACAAGGAATTTTCACGAGGGAGACTCTATCTGTACAGTACCTACAGTGACATGCACAAATGTGGGGAATCGGACGGGCAGATCCGCGGCCGCGTAAATTACTTATAGGTCCTGTATGGTATCCATTCAAGACCCACTAATCCACCACTCTGTAAAAGCTTTTTTCTTCTTCCTTTCTGGTGTTGTGGTGGGTTGCTGGCGTTGCGTTGCGTTGTGCGGTGCGGTGCTGTAACTGGTACTGTACCTGGTAGTGGTACTGGTACGCTTTGGGAGCTTGCCACCTCTCATTATCGTGGAGAATTTTTCTTCTTCTTATTGCTTTATCTGCGTCTGCGTCTGCGTCTGCTCCACCCAAAGACGTGCTACCTAGTTTAGTTAGCGAGCAATTTTCCTTCCATTGATAGACTCCATTTTTCCCTTCATTGAAAACTTGTTTTATTTTATCTTTTCTAGGGGAGAAGAAGGAGAAGATTGGGAGGTATAAGAGGATCAGGAAAGCTGAGGACCTTTTCTTTGTCTCGGGCTAGAGAATTGTTGGTACCTACATCTGGCGCTGCATGCTCATGCTCATTATTCACGGCCCCTGTTTCCGTCCCTGTTCGCTTCCTCCAGTCATCCGACTCGACTTGACGTTGGTTCTGCCTCGATCCCGCTATCCAAAGCTCGAGGAGCAAGCCAGGGAGCCACCCAGCCAGCCACCCAGCCAGCCACCCAGCAAGACCACGACCACGACCACGACCACGACCACGACCCCCTCGCAGGCCCAAGGCAAGCCTCCTCCGCATTGTCGCAGCTGCATATCCGCCTGCGACTCTATACTCGACGACGAACAGTTCATAACTTGTGGCTCATCACTCATCACCCCCACGCGGAACGTGAATTACTTCTGCATTATTTGCATTTGCATGGGAACTTTCAATTGACAAAGTCAATTTGCCGAGGGAAGAGATTGCCGTCGAGCTGGCTGAAAGCTTCAGTGTCTACGTAGGTAGTGCAGTGCAGTTATCCTGCCCTGCTCCCGCTAGCAGTTGATAGAAGAGCTATCACCCTCTATCACTCTACTCGGCCGCAAACGTCACTTTCAACACCAACACCAAGCCCAAGTCAGGCCAAGCACACCCACTCCCACCACGCCGAGCACCATCATCATAGAATAGGAATAGGGCCCGGCAAGTATCAGTCCCACTACCAACAATTCGCACCACCCACCTTTTCGACACACCCACCCTCACACTCACCTTCACCCCTCAATCATCAACACCCTCTTCTCTTCCACCTGCACCTGCATCCAGTACATCGCCGCATCCCACACTGGTACATAATATCCCGGGACCGACGACGACTCGTCCGAACCTCTTCTCCGCACTTTAATCATTTTCATGCACCACATAACATTGAGCTACTTGAGAGGGGGCAGACCCTGAACCCCACCCCCCCTCGATTGCCAGATGGTCGTGAACCTAGTCTCAGTCTCACGAACCAAAAACCCTCATTAAAAGCTTCAAGCCCACCAATTCTCCTCTCTCTGTAGAAGAATCGCTTCGTCCATCCAACGCATCCCCGTATAGCATCGGACAACAGTCAGTAGTGGTCGTGAGCAATAAGCTGAGTTGAGACATCAACACTTGATCCAGTATCGACTATCGACCTGGGGACCCCATCAACATACCCCCCCTCCCCGCCGCCTCCNAGTAGTGGTCGTGAGCAATAAGCTGAGTTGAGACATCAACACTTGATCCAGTATCGACTATCGACCTGGGGACCCCATCAACATACCCCCCCTCCCCGCCGCCTCCGTCACCGAGCAGCTGCTCAGAATAGTGTGCATCACCTGCACCAACAATTCTTACTCTCACTCACTCACTTCCCCTTTTTTCTCGCCTCGGTCGTCTCGCCTGTCACCTCACCTCACCTCTAACCTGCCTGCCTCATCCGCCCATAATCCACAATACCCACGTTTCTTAGCCCCGACTCACTCCCCTCCATGATCTCGGTATCACATCACGGCGAGTCGTGATTGCGTGTGTGTCACTTACGATTGTCTACATTCGGTAAAAATTAAAAGAGTCATCCGCCCTGTCCTGCGCCCAATTACTCTTGCGATCTAGCCTTCTGTTGGCTCTTATTACAACAAGATATCCCAGCTCATTGGTTGGATTGCGGACGTGAGAACCCGGGTGGCTGCAAGGCACTACTTCTTTAAAAGTCTGCCTGCAGCAATATCCTTGTCTATCTGGTCTGGGATGCAAACCTCGTTGGAGAGTATAGAAGCATCATGAACGCTCAAATTTCCTTCATTGTAAGTCACCATTTTGCTTTCTATTGTCCTCTGGTCATGTGCGTCGATTGTCGCTTATGGTGCCTTGGCGGATGACTGAAATAATACTGGCTTCACTGCTTCAATGCTCTAGGCAACGCTATGAAAGTGGTTCTATTGTCATTCCTGCTTCCATACTTGGAGCTTCACCATAATCATGGCGATCACAAGGAGTTTCAAGTATTTCGTCTGGAGACGATCTTTCATATCTGCATCTTCTCATAAGCATGTTATGAATTCTTTAAGCATGTCGGACGAAACGTTGGTCAAGCCAATTCTGGTCGAACATACTGACGGAATTCAGGAGGGACAATTTAGTCTCATCCATGTCCCATTACACCTCTACTCGGCTCTCCTTCAACCTATATTAAGAGTACTGCTTCCTCATGGTGGTCCAACAGGTAGTGATGAGCCGGAAGGATTACTAGAAGGACTTTCCACCGACAATAAGCATGGATTCTTGAATATCAGTGTGACACCAATCGAATGTTCCATAGTCTGTCACACATCATGGGCCCGAAATGTCTTCGAGCCGGTCATCAAAAAACTGCCAAAAGAAGCTTCAAAACAAGTACAGATTTCAAAAGAGAATTACATTATTTTCTCCGTCAGCAGTGCTGGTATGGAAGCCGGTCAGCGAGTAATGGATCTCACAGCACCTCTCGCCATGGCTGGTATCCCCATTTTCTTCATCACAACCTATTACACGGATTTCATTCTGGTCCCCAGCAAAGATCGAGCCACAGTCGGCACCGCACTTTTAGACCGCGGCTTCGAGTTTTCTGAAAATGATTCGGCATATGTAGCACCAACCAGCATCTCTCACTCTCGAAATACATCATCTATACCCTCCAATCCTCCCTCTACACCCCCACCCACCAATGTTGCAGAGCTCCAAAGTCGAACCTTCAACCAGCTGAGAAAACGAAATGTTATCCCTTTTGTCGAACCCGGTCTCCGACTCATCCAGTGCTCCGGCAAAGAACTCACGCGAGAAAACGAGTATCACCACCACTCCCACAACGGCTCAAACGGAACTCGAACACCCCCATCCTGGCTCGACAACCTTGACCCAAAGCTCTACCTCGGCCTCGTCTCCGCACTCACCCAACCACCCCGCTTCCTCTCCGTCACTCTAGCACAAGACGACGCACCCTCCCTGCTCGTGGACAAGAACTTGCTCTGGCTGTTTGGCACCTCGATCGCGGGCGATACGGATTGTGATCTTGTGCCTATCTTTCTGGATCTGGTTGATCTGCCGCTGGAGAGCACCGGTATTGTTTGTGGGGTTGCGGGCAAGCTCGTGGATGAGATGCGGTGTTTTGAGGCGAATGGAAATGGAAATGGTGAGGCAGGGGGCAATAGTGAGTTGAGTTATTTGAGTACGGCAAGAGCGGGGGCGGTGGTGCTTAATTATGAGGGGAGTGTTAGGGCTTTGGAGGCGCTTGCGCCGTTATTGGAGATGGGTTAAGGGGTTGAGGATGAGGAGGTTGGAAATTACTACTTTTGCCTTTTCGGCGCGGGATGGAGGGAGACTCGGTTACGAAGGAGTGTGGGGGATCAGCAAATTTCGACTTCTTGACTTCTGGATTTTCGAATTGCCATATCATGTTACAAACCATAACTTTGCTCAAACTCCGAAGCAGGCAAAAACGAAAATCCCAAATCTCCTTTTCTCTGCTTGAATACGCCCGCTTCGCAGGCTTGTATAACACGCATACACATTCACATACACATACGCATATACGATTACAAAGAAACAAACGAAACGACAGCATCACATCACATCACATCGCAACTCAATCATCTTCTTGTCATCTTTCTCTGGAGTTTCTCTGTCATCATAAAAAAGTTCTTCTCTGATTTGTCCCCTCGGGCTGGGTTTCATTTTCGACTTCCATACTTATTCTTTCGTGTGGATGTTTCAGTCTTTCAATTTCTTCTTCTTTTTATCTCGGTTTCTAGGAATGGGATTTTCATACGTGGATTTGTTTGCTTTGGTTTGCATTTTTCGATGGAAAAGGGTTTCAAGTTTCTCTCTTTTCTAATTCTTTTCTTTTGAATTTGAATTTGAATCTGAATCTATTTTTAAGGGTGGTCGGTTATTTGATCTTTTCTGTATGTTTTTTCTGGTCTGGAGTTAGGTTTGGGTGCGGGTTTGGGTCTGGGTGAAGCGGGAGTTCTTGTTTCTGTTTCTCTTTTGCATCTTTCTTTTTATATGAGCTCGAAGTGTGGGCGATGGAGCTCACAAAGGAAGTTTTTTTCCTTCCCAGTATGGAAGTTCTGCGTCGTTTGACTTCCTCGGGGTGGGAAGGAGGAAGGGGTAGGATTCGATATCGTTGTGGTGAGGTGAATGGGGATTGATAGGGAGGGATTCGAAAATTTCTTCCTTCTTTTTTTTCTCGCATGGCTTTGTAGGGGAAGATGGGTTTTTGAGGGGAATAGGGAATACCTACGAATACCATAGCAGAGCAGAGCATAGTAGTACCCAGTACAATACCGAATCTAGTATGGAGAAATTTCAAAATTCAAAAATTCAGAGGGCTTTGAGCGAATACAGAATCAGAATCAAAATCAGAATCAAATAAAAATAAAAATAAAAGAAAAGTTTATAAATAACTTACCTATGATTCTTTTTTTTTTTTTTTTTTTT